AACGCAATCTCTCATACAATGCTGGTGTATTTAATTTATTAATAACAGTATTCATTTAAATGGCACAATCATTTTGGAAAAAAGACTAGCATTTAAAAAAACTAAACTTTTATTTAAAGATTTATTTATTTATTTGAGAGCGAGCCAGGGCAGGGGGAGAGGGAAAGAGAGAATCTCCAGCAGAGTCCTGCTGAGCAAGGAGCCCGACACGGGGCTCAATCCCATGACCCTGACATCATGACCTGGGCCAAAATCAAGAGCTGCATGCTCAACCCACTGGGCCACCCAGGCACCCCAGAAAATTAAACTATTTGACCCAGCAATTCCACACCTAAGAATTTACCAAAGAAAAATGAAAATGTATGCCTACAAAAGGTTGTACAAAAATATTCATAGTAACTATTGATATTAACTCTAAACTGGAAATAGCTCCCATCAATGGGAAAACAGATAACAAAACTGTGACATATAACACGATATCATTCAACAATAAAAGAGAAAAAAACTAAGGATATATGCAACAAGATAAATGAATCTCAAAAACCTTATGCTGAGTAAAAGAATTCTACCACAAAAGAGTACATATGATTGCATTTATACGAAATTTCAGAACAGCTAAAACTAATCTATAGTAGAAAGTCAGAAGAGTAGTAACCTTTGAAGGTGGGAGAGGGAACTGAGTGAGAAAGGGCACAAGAAAACTTTCCAGGGCTCGGGTTACATAATTGTATGCATTTGTCAAAGTTTATGATTTGTGCATTTTATTTTATGTAAATATTTTCTCAAAAGAAAAAACCATAATGAAACACTGAACTCTACTTATTTATATGCATACTTAAGTATTTAGAGGGAAATATATTAAAGCCTGCAATTCAGTTTGAAAAGTATCAAGAAAAATTAAAATGGAATGAAGGCTGGATAGATGGGTCAATCTGTGCTAAAGCAAGTAAAATAAAATATTCATGGTAGAATCTAGGTGGGGGGAAAATGAGTATTGAACATAGAATTCTCTGGCCCTGCTTTATGTTGGAAGATTTTTCACAATAAAATATTAGGAAAAAAGTAAAGAATGTTGGGAAACCACATGCCTACCAAGGGCTTAAAGAACAGAGTAAGTATTTTCCACATTAGAGAACATGTAGGCCTATTTCTTGTTCTGGGTTTTACAAGAGACTATGTTGAAGATTAAAATTTTCAAATAGAAATATGGTCAGTTATATAAAACTGCAACTTGATAAATGTTTTGCTCACAGATGTCCTAACAAAACTTATTTTTACTGTTCCTATGATGGACTGTTTTTTTTCAGTCCAATGTTGCAGCTGTGTTACTTGTCATGACATTTTCCTGAGACAGAGCTGAGATAAATTTAAGGATCAAAGAGCGCCAAGTGATTTTATAGATATTATCTTATTTATCCTTGAAGTAGTTCTAAAAGACTCTAGTTGAGCAAGCACTATTATGTCCATTTTACAGACGGAGAAAACAGGACAGAGAAATTAAGGGATTTATTTAAGGTCATAGGACACAAATGGCACCTATAATAATAGCATACTGAAAGCTTACTATGTCAATTTTACTATAATCCTTTTATTTAATCTGCACATAAGCTTTCATTTTATACAGCAGGAAACCAAGGCTTACAGAAAACAAATAGGTTGGCCAAAGTGACAAATTCCATCATCCTAACTTCTATCTAATTAGCTAATGGGTTCTGAACATTTTTTCTACTATGACATATAGGATAGATGTTCACAATCCTGTGGACATAACTGAAGTTATGCATAATTTTGCCAGGTACTGGTAATTCTACTGCTTCTCTTTTTCTCCAGAAAGCACAATGGAATGCAAGTAAGAGTGATAGAGAAATAACCTTGAATCTCTACCAATTTATATTTTACAAAAAGCAAATTATCTACAAAGTTTAGTATTTCAAGTAAAATGAGAAACAAATTACTTTGCAGTATTAAGACTGAGAATCTGCAATAGTCTGAATCTTCTAAGACTTTTCCTTGTATAGTAAGTATATCATGTTCCGGGAGACTGACCATCTTAATGAAGAGCAAGGTGTGATACAAATCTTGTAGCCTAAACTGCCCTCTCCAACTGGTTCTGAAGACCTATTTCAAACGTGATCATGCACCAGATGTCTCTAGGATTTAGCATGAATGCTACAGAGAATGCAGCCCTGTATTTTAACGAAGGCCAAGGTTACTCAGCTCTAAAAGATGTCTAAATAGAAGGTAAAGTAGCACAACCTTCGGTGATGCAGCCAAGTCATATCCCCTTCTTCTTTTTTCCCCTCCACTCTCACAACCCTAAGTTCTGTAGAAACTCTGTAATACTTAGCCTTTTTTTCTAATACCCAGCTATATCAGCAGCACTACAGGTGTTAAAAACCTAACCCTTACTGTGATATTAGGAGATGGGGCCTTTGGGAGGTGATAAGATCATGAGGGCAGAGACCTCATGAATGAGGTAAGTGCTCTTATAAAAGACCCCAGAGAGCTTAGCTCTAGACTCTCCTGCCCTTGAGGACACAGCAAGAAGACAGCCATCTATGAATCAGGAAGCCGGCCCTCACCAGACACTGATTCTGCTGGCATCTTATCTCGGACTTCCTATCTTCTACCAGAACTATGAAGAATAACTTTCTGTTTGTTTATAAGCCCCCCCCCAGCCGCGCCGTCTATGGTATTTCGTTATAGCAGCCACAACAGACTAACACAAGAGATATCTATTCTCATTCTCAGAAATGATTTACGATGAAGAGACTTAGCCTGAAAATATTCCTCAGTCTGACAACCAGCTGACAAATTTAGTTGCTGTTTGTTCTTTATCACATTGTTTCTCTATTCTAGTTCCTTCTTTGTGGTCCCTACTAATTTTTTTAAGTCCATGATTAACCAAAGGCTCTACATAAATGTACCTCATTTGAAGAAAAAAAAATTAATTTTGATTCAAGAGGCAGAGGTGATTACTTTACAAATTAAATTCTTACTTTATGAAAAAAAATAGAGCAATTCTTTAAAGACCCAAATTATGTTGTATTTAGATATGATTTAATGTGCACACAATCTTTCACGAATAAATCTATATGTAACTTGAAACAATTTCTATAATATCTTGAACTTTTAAAAGAAAGCAAACAAAAACAATACAAATATATCAGAATATAATTTTTAAAATGTGTATACATAGTTGGCAGTTAAGACTTCTTTAAGCTACTCTTTCTTAAGAACCTACTATGTTCTGTGCAAAGAACCTGGCTCTGTGCAAAGGCTTCATATGTATTGTCTCGTTTAATCTGCACACTGAGTATTCTCCTTTTTTTTTTAAATTTTTTAAAAAGACTTTATTTATTTATTTGACAGAGAGCAAGCACGCAAGAGAACACAAGCAGGGGGAATGGTAGAAGGAGAGGGAGAAGCAGGCTCCCTGACGAGCAAGGAGCCCAATGCGGGACTTAATCCCAGGACCCTGGGATCATGCCCTGAGCTGATGGCAGACACTTAACCAAATGAGCCACCCAGGCACCTGTCTTTCTTTTTTTTAAACAGATAAGGATATAGTGGTTTATGGAGGTGAAAGCATTTGCTTAGAGCCTTCTTTTCAGCAGGTCACCCTAATTAGGATTGTCTGATTTCCACAAGAAGGTCTATCTGATTGCAGAGCTCAACTCTTTCTAGTATACCACACAACATATTACAGAGTAGGATCTTTAATGTCCCTATGGCCTAAAATGCCCAATGTTGGGGCACCTGGGTGGCTCAGTTGGTTAAGTGTCTGCCTTTGGCTTGGGAATGATTCCGGGGTCCTGGGATCAAGTCCCGCATCGGGCTCCCTGCTCAACGGAGAGTCTGCTTCTCCCTCTGCTCCTCCCCCTGCTCATGCTCTCTCTTTCTCTCTCTCTCAAAAAAAATAAATAAATAAACTTTTAAAAAATGTCCACAGTCACTCAACCTCTTGCTGTCTTCTTGTGATCCATCCCATCCTGACTGGACACCTGTCTGTGCATTCAGATCAGAAGAGACCATAAAAGTGAAAGTACATTATAAAAAGTCTGGCCCTTGCCTAGGTCTCTGGATAAGTTCATCTCTCTCTCTCCCTTTTTCCCCCTAATGTCTAGTCTAATTAGGTTTACCAGCACCATTTCATGCAATCACTGAAGACAAGGTCAGAGAACCCAACTGGTTATAGAACTATAAGGGACATAAGAAATTATTCAATCCAACTCTCTCTTTTTACAAATAAGGAAACTCAAGTCAAGATATGCCAACTTGGGGAGACGAACCATGAGAGACGATGGACTCTGAAAAACAAACTGAGGGTTCTAGAGGGGAGGAGGGTGGGGGGATGGGTTAGCCTGGTGATGGGTATTAAAGAGGGCACATTCTGCGTGGAGCACTGGGTGTTATGCACAAACAATGAATCATGGAACACTACATCAAGAACTAATGATGTAATGTATGGTGATTAACATAACAATAAAAATTAAAAAAAGAGAGAGAGATGCCAACTTGCCAGGGTCACACTGCTAGTTGATGCAGCCATATCTATAATCAGATCTCTGACTCTATGTTACCTACAATATAAGGAGTTTCCATCTGAGGGGACATTTAAGATTTCTTTAATAATGTTTTTAAAATTATAAAGTAACTTCATAGTGAGAAAAGTACTAAAACTCCAGGAAAGTATAAAATGAACAGTAGAAGCCCCTTCTCTCCTTCTACCTTCTAATCTTATTTCACTCCCTGGGAGTAACCAGCATTAAATTTCTTGTGTGTTTGTCCCAAATTTTTCTGTATATGTATATGTACATATATTTGTGAAGCAATTTAAATATGGAACTCCAAAAATTATTCTTTCATCTCAGGCTGATGTTTTGCTCTGTATAATGTAGTCAACAGTCATATTATTAATAATATGCATAAGCAATATTACAACATGTCCCTAAGTTTGTAAAGCCTTAAGTTTGATATTCTCCTTAGGTACAGCTCACCTGTTTTCCAGATCCGGCATGCTTAGGTTTCTAGCAGCAAAGCACATTTTGAGAGGGATGACCTTCCTGTCCTTGGTGCTGTTCTGGTGTTTTGGAGAACCAGAGTCCTCACTGCCACTAAAGCTTGGTGACTGAGGAGATGCACCTTCCCATGGTAGATCTGATACTAATGATGGCTTCTTGATATATGGTGTTACTTCTCGGATGAACTTGACTACGAACAAAAATCAAAGAAGAAGGTTACTGTTTTTGCTTCCTGTGAAAAAAGACAACTGAAATACATACATACATGTAATATCTGCCAGGAAGTGAAAAAAGACACTAAGTTAAAGAGCCAGAACACAGAATCTTAGGATTGGAGGTATTTTAAGGCTACCTAATCCAAATGAAATACCACTACTGTATTCTAAAAAGTTTAACTTCTGCACTTTTGCATGTATTTTTCCTTCTGCTTAGGACTCCTCTCTCTCTATCTGCCTGGTCAACTCCACTTCAGAGTCACCTCCTTAGCAACCTTTCCTGTTAACTCTCCAGGGTATTACTTAAACCTCTGTAACAACCTCTTAGCACCCTGGGTTGTAATCCTTTGCTAATACTTCTGTTCACCTGCTGGGTCTGAGTTCTTCGAGGGCAGAAAGTATGATGTATTCAGTCTTAGTATCCCACACCTAGGACAGTGTGTGCTCAATACATGTTTGCAGAAATGAGTAAAGAAACAAATGGGGGCGTCTCGGTGGCTCATTTGGTTAAGCATCTGACTTCAGCTCAGGTCATGATCTCAGTGTCCTGGGATGGATCCCTGCATTGGGCTCCCTGCTCAGGAGGGAGCCTGCTTCTCCCTCTCCCTCTGCTCCTCCCCCTGCTCGTAATTTCTCCCTCTCAAATAAATAAATATCTTTAAAAAATAAAATTAAAAAAATTCCCCAAGATGTGAAAAAGAAAGAAACCAATGAACAATTAAATACTTGAATTATTTCCATAGTTGACTGGCCATGTGTGAATCTCCTGGTGACAGAATCAGCATCTCCTGAGACAAGGCCACTTAGCTTTAGACAGCTCAACATTCAGAAAATTCTTGAAACTTCCACCCACTGGTTTGCAGTCTACTGAAGCATACGGAAAGCACTCAACCTCTTTCACATGAGAACATTTCAATTATCTAAAAACTGAGATTATTTCTCTCTCTCTTCTCCCAACTAAGCTAAATATCTCTATTTCAATTCAATTCAGCTCAACCAATATTTTTAGCTACCTACCAACTGCCAGGAATTAGGCTACCCACTAAGAATACAGTAACAAATGAAGAAGCATGGACCCTGCCCAATCTAGTAAGGGAGACAGCTTTATAAACAGATCATTAAACAAATACAAAAATAAAGTGTATTCAAGGTAAGGTATTTTGATTAATGGTAGCCCTAAATTAAAACATAGCTTTTAGTATATGGCAAACTTTTTTCTTTTTAAGTTCAATTTTAAGACCCATAAAATACTTCTTTGACTTCAGTCATGACTGGCAACTGCTGTCATTTGAGGCATGGTGTTCTTGTTTCAAAAAACAGATAAACCGAGGATTATTAAAATTTCAAGTGGCATTAAAAATGTAAATAGTTGAATGCAGAATGTAGTCATCACTACCTCTGCTATCATGATATATTATATCAGTATTCTACTTCCCTCTCAAATTCTTTTTTTTTTTAAGATTTTATTTATTTATTTGACAGAGAGAAAGAGCACAAGCAGGGGGAGCGACAGGCAGAGGGAGAGGGAGAAGCAGGCTCCCCGCGGAGCAGGGAGCCCAATGCGGGGCTCGATCCCAGGAACCCATGATCACAACCTAAGCCAAAGGCAGATGCTTAACCGACTGAGCCGCCCAGGTGCCTCTCCCTCTCAAATTCTACCGTGGTAGGTCATTAGAGTAGTATCATGGGAATTGAAAAACTAGAAAGATATAATTATTATCAATGCTTATCAATATCATAATAGTATTAATATTCTACAGCATTGGAAGCTTTACAAGCCGGGGTGCCTGGGTGGCTCAGTCGATTAAATGGCTAAGTCGTGATTTCTGCTCAGGTCATGATGTTTAACCAACTGAGCCACCCAGGTGCCCCTAAAGGATTTTATAATAAAACATCCAGATTTCTTTTCTTTGTTTGTTTGTTTGTTTTGTTGGATAGGTTCTATTATTAATAAGTTGGGAAATATTTTGCAAATTTACTCCCCATGAGTCATATTTACAGGATATTTTTGTTGAAACAGGAGCTATGTGCAGATTAAACTGTTTTCCCAAAACTTCTTCTTCCTCTCCAGTCAATGGTTTATTATCGATGAATATTATTTCCTGCAAGTGTTTATCTTGGATTTTCTTGTTCCTCTTCATCAGGTCATCATCTCTGTAATCTTCTCGGTGGCTCTGGTTTGAGAATTCTTCCTCTAAGAACCAAGGCTCCTCTCCTTGCTCCAACTTGAAGATTACGGCTGGTTTTAAAATGCAGTTCCCCACTGAGACTAGGTTGTTTTAGTTCTCCAGCATCACATCTCTATACAGGGTCCTCTGAATAGGGGACCCATTTGCTGCCACTCCTCTTGGGTGAATTCCACAGTCACGTCCTTGAACGACACTGATGCCTGAGATGTGTCCATTTTCTGCTGTTGTTGGGAGAGTACAGAGAACTGTGACGGATAAGCTTCTGCAAGCTGGTCCAGTTTCCACTGTCACAGTCTGTGATAGCTTCTGGATGTGGTGACATCACCAAGTCTGGCTCTTTCTGGACAAGGTAAATAAGAACTGCTTCTGGTGGAGCAAATTAGGACCCACTCCTTTTTGGGTTCTTCTGCATGTTCTGAAGCTCTGGTGAGGGTGGTTCCTGTTAGATGAGCTCTTCTTCCAGGTGGGATTCCTGTCCCCAGGGCTCCTCTCTTCCCTGTCACACAAGAGCTACTTTGTTCCATACGTTGAGACTTAAGCCTGAGGGCAAAAGGGCCCTCTTTTTTTTTTTTTTTTTAAGATTTTATTTATTGGGAGCCTGGGTGGCTCAGTTGGTTAAGCAACTGCCTTCGGCTCAGGTCATGATCCTGGAGTTCCGGGATCGAGTCCCGCATCGGGCTCCCTGCTCAGCAGGGAGTCTGCTCCTCCCTCTGACTCCCCCCTCTCGCTCTATCTATCTCATTCTCTCTCTCAAAATAAATAAATAAAATCTTTAAAAAAAAAGATATTATTTATTTATTTGACAGAGAGAGACACAGCGAAAGAGGGAACACAAGCGGGGGGGTGGGAGAGGGAGAAGGCTTCCCGCAGAGCAGGGAGCCCGATGTGGGGCTAGATCCCAGGACCCTGGGATCATGACCTGAGACAAAGGCAGACACTTAACCGAATGAGCCACCCTGGTGCCCCAAAACATCTAGATTTCTAGCAGCCCAATTCCCATCCCTGAAGGCAACCATTATATGGTCTTCCAGACATATGCTAGATATACTAAGCATATGTAAAAATAAACACACACATGTACATATGTATTCATACATACACTTCACATAATGGTAGTATATAATGCTTATTGCTCTGAACCTTGTTTTTACTTAATAATACTGATAATAGTTTTTTATAAGCCCAGCATTCTGCAGCTCATTCTATAGCATGATGAGGTTATAGACCTTTTGCCTCAGATGGACCTGGTTCAAATACCAACTGTGTTTTCTACCTCAGAGTTACTTGACTGTTCTGAGGTCCTCACCTATAAAATAGAATTAACACTAAACAAGTAAAAGTAAAAGTTTCAGTAAAATAGTATGTGCCTTTCTTTTCTTTTAAGTTTTTATTTATTTATTTAAGTAATCTCTACACCCAACATCACGATGCATGCCAGGTGTCCAATGTCTTTTTTTTCCTTCTCTAAACTAAACAGTTAGAAAAGTTAAAAAATTTTAATAGCACTTAGTAGAAACGAGGTGAAATTATTGTCTTATAAGTTAATAAACAAGATCTGCTGAAATTAAGCATAATCCTAGAAAATATAAAGTATTTTTTAAAATCCTAGAAAATATAATAATGCTAACGTCAGAATTTAGATATAGTTTATGTGTGTTTATATATGTGTGTGCCCTTTCTATGCAGTTATAATACATGCATTTCTAGAAGAAGGTAAAAGCTAGCTGCCTCAGGTCACCAAGGAGATTTTTTCATCCTAGAAAAATAAGCAAGACTGCAGCCAGTATATCCCTTGAATGGCTGACTCGGGCATTTCAATACATGCTTTAGTTCTGTGCTTTCAAGAGAGGATTAGATCACAAGAACTTCAGCAGAAATTCCTAAGTTTCCAGTCATGGCCAATGGCAGACTTGCTTTGTGAACATTTAAGGCAGTATACCAACTACTGGGCTACCAATCAGAGGAAATTAAGGGCATTCTAAATGACTACTCTTGAATATTATAGTAGTGTAAAAGGACCCTTCATGATCTACTCATTCCAATTTTAGTATATGTGCTGCCGAAGCGAGCACCTTCATGATCTACTCAGAAGTTCATTCAGTCACACAGTAGCATCACTGAACTGATGACTGCACATATATTTAAGACAGACACACATACACAGCCTATTTCATGGCCTTATGAAAGAGCAGCAGTTTCACTTGAACTGATGTCAATGATGCCCATACCCCAATTGAACTGGCCATCCATAATGGCTCAAGAACTGTGAATAGACATCTGTTTGTAATTTACCTGAGATTTGGGAGAGGTGGAAAGTTAACAGTGTTCTGTTCTAGTCCTACAATTAGACCTCTCCAGTTACCACAGTACTCTCACCTGGATACCTGGCTGGATTAGTAAAGACTCTACACCCCTACATGGCATTCAGTTCAACTCAGAACCCACAATATATTTCAGAATTATTTCATTTTTCCTGATAGTTGAAGATTATCCTCAAAATGTTTAATGAAACACTGATGTTTGCACTGTTTTACGTACTTAGATGTTGAAGTTAATTTCCTTTCTTCCACGTACTGATCACTCTTATTAAAAATTAAAGAGTCTTCCCCTCACCCTAAGAGCATCACTATAACCCCTTTTCACAAGAGTGACAAAAACATATACATGTTCTGTTCACACATGTGGAAAGATGTCTGGAAGGATTTTCATAAAAATATCGATAGTGCTTATATGTAGGTGTAGGATCGCCTTCTTTTCTTTATACAGTTCTATATATTTGAAATTCT